TCAGAAGAAATACAGGGAGAAATATGTGAGCATTTTACAATACATTTGTTTTACTTTCTATATTATTGGAAGCTGAAATTTGCTTACAGTAAATTTTAAACAAAGAATACAAATGTAATATATTGCAGCTTACCAGTCCTAAAATGTGGTGGCTGCATTAGGTCTCTTTTTCTGGCTAAGTACATTTTCTGTAAGTACAGAAAAATACCTGTTGATCCTGAAAGAAATCCAATCTCCTTGTCATTTCCTGTGGGCTGAACAGAAACCTCAAACGCTATCAGTTTTCTTAGCTATTTTCTGGGAACTACAAAGTGCGTCCTTCTATGTAACTGAGATAAGAAGAAGGTGTAGAAGTGGAGAAGAAGTGGAGGTGTTTGTGGTCCAACTCAGGAGGTCAGCCGGGGGTAACAACTCTGCTCCCCCATAGATTTAGCATTTGTGAGGGAGCATTGTCAGCCTAGGACAGGAAGTGTGTTATTGGCAGAATAACCACACAAAAAATGAAAACAGAAAACTATTATAGACATCACATCTAAGTACTGGAAAGATGGAATACATTACATTTGTTTTTAGGTTTAGGTACACTTTACGTTTGGGAGTTTTAGATTTATGAAAGTCCTCCTCATCATTTAAAATGAGAAGAGAACCACACAGAGAAGGTTGAAGCCTCGCTGTTGACTGTTCCTTTTACATCTTTGGTGGGACAAGATAAAACCCTGCTTCATCGGCTGCTCCTCTGCCAGCTGCTTCACCGGAGAATCGCAGCTTAATTTTCCATATAAGGACGTGAGCCCCAAACCTGGACTACAGAAGCGGGCAGCTGGGGGACTATATATGACTTTGTCCCATTTGGGCTGAAATATTTCAGGTACAGTTTTATGCAGGCCACCACCCCTCCACAAGGAAATGTAAGATTTTTGGGTGAAGGTATTTTTACACTGAGCCTCATTTTTCTTGTCTTCTTTGAGAACTGAAAATGGCAATTTCTACAGCCTCACAAAAAAAAAGAAAGTTCATTTTTTTTGCAGTCTGCGGGGCATTGTTATGTTCAGTTACTTAAAAAGAAATGCATTCCGACTGCCATTAAATTTAATGTGATTAACTTTAAGCTTTTACATTATTAAAAGAAAGGCCCACCGACATATGGCACACTGTATTGTTTTATGCAGTTACCAGCCAATGCAGTGATGGCTTGTTACCTTTCGTATCGCACAGAGAGTAATAGAACATTTAACTTCAGCTGCTAAAAGTAAAATAGGTTTTTAAAAAAGTGATTAATATGCACTGATTATTTTAATGGTCGTGTCATTTTTTTTTTTCTGCAATAAGCTGCCTCATCTAAAATCTGCAGTCACAAAAAGCCATTACTCTTTGTAACTGTTTAATTACTTTTCTAATAAACTTAAGATGGTAATTAAGTGCTGGTTATATGATGACAATAATGAGTCTATAAGTAAAAGGACTTAAATCATAGGCGTACTCAGGCAGTTATGAAATTCAGTGTTTACGTTAAAGAAGAACTCCGGGCAAAACTGTTCTTAACCCTTGCAGTGGGGATACCCCCCGCACTGCAAGGATTAACTGCTCTTTTTTTTCCCCCTAGGTGCTGAAATGAAAAGGTTATATTCACCCAAACCGTGGAGGTCTGTGGTATTTGAGTGATACCCTACTACAGATTAAACTGGAAATTAAATATTCAAAAGCATTAAAGTGTATCTAAACCTAAGAACAAATATTTAACATATAGCAGCTTACCAATCCTTAAATGTGACAGCTAGCTCAAATTTTCTGCAGTTGTCTAATTGACATTTCTCTTTATTGAGCCATGGCAACAGAGCACATTTTGGAGTGAGTGTTTCCCATGATCCTCATCCTCCTGCCCTTGTAACTGGCTCATTTTCTCTCACTGCACTAGATACAATGCCGGAGGTTAAATTCCATTCTCAGCATTCTTTTCTCTTTAATTTGAACTTATTTTGATGAAAATATAGGAGCTCTCACTGTTGATTTTGTATTTAAAGGTTCAGTTTCTGTGGCGGTCATGGGGACACTAGCTCCCTTGCCAGTGACTAGGAATAAGCATGCAGCATAATATAACTTTTTCTCCACGGCATGCCTACTTTTCCCAGATGACTGACTTAAACAGGGTCTGTACTGTGGAAGATGTACTCAAAAAGTCAAGTGGAGGGCAAAGTACTATACCAGCACTGGCTATATGCTCCTTGCTGGTGATCTTTTTACCCAATACTAATTTATCAAGGCTTGTTCTGCACTGTGTCTCTGTGTGAAGGTGACCATCTTGGAAGAGGCACAGGGTTTTGCTTCCTCATGTCAGAACTGCCTTTCCGATGAATGGTAATCGGATAACTGGTGGGGAATATTCAAGCAGCAGCAGTAGAGGTGGAGGAAGCACAGGCTGGATGAAGCAGAAGCAGGGAGAATATGTGAGCATATATCTGTTGATGAAGGAATAATCAAGCAGCAGCAGGGGAGGTGGCGGAAGCATAGATCCAAAGAAGGGATGAAGCAGGGAGATACTGGCAATGCAGGTACAGTTTCCTCTCCAACAAGGAGAGCAGCACAGTAGTGGCATTACTAAAACTCCCAGGTGGACAGGGACAGAGCCAGTAATTACATCACAGAGCTTTCATTGTTAGATTATCTAAGTCACAACCCTCCTACCTTTAACTAACATACCACTTCTGGTTGGACTGACCCTTGAAACGTATTATTTTAACTTTAGGAGGCTGAGTACATTAAAAGGCTGGCAGCACTCAGAGTTGAATGTTTAAACTGTACAGAGTTACTTGTACAGAACTAAAACTCACAGCCGACGTTCACTGACCCACCTTACAAGATTAAAGAGATTTGTGAACTTCTTAGATAATACTGCTCTCTTGATTTACAGCATATAAATGGGATGACCCATATTGAACCACATTGCTTCCAATTATAGCATATAGGTTGAGACAAGTGAGCATAAGAATTCAGCTGCAACCTCAACTGTGAAACATGCGTATGAAGGTGATCTGGGCTAAATCTTGGTCTGTAAGGATCAGCTACACTACAGTATTTAGAGACCAATACCAATCTCAAGCTGAATATTCTTGTAGAGTATGGCAAACCCAACAATTGAGAAATTAGTAAGTCTGCTTTAAGTCGTGCTATAATTTTTAAAGCATATTAGCTCTTTTGTTGTGTCCAAAAACAGCAAGTTACATTGCAAACCTCTAACCTCTGCCTTTTCTTTTTCTGTGCTTTGTCAGCTGCTGTTGGAGCCTCAGGCGATATAAACATTGATTTGTTTACATTTAGACTGTCTGCACTCTAAAGTGTAGAGAGCAGTACATTTCAGGCCAGGACAAAGAACAAGGAATGCATCAGAGATGTGTCTCCTGCTTTTCATAATTGGTTGGCTAGATTCACATGGTTTATGGCGGTGTAGGCAAGACGTAGCTAGACTTCTCTTTTTTAGCAGTTGATCTGTTCCTCCAGTGACTACAGTGATTACATCAGTGCATTGCAGCATAGAAAGGAAGCTTTTCCTTTTAATAGAGTACTATGTAATCCATTGTACCCTTGATGTTGCAAGACACACATGCTGCTGGGTAGGACTTCACTTTCTCGTCACATGACTCTATTCTGTGCAACGTCTTCTCTGTGAGATATATCAAGTAGCATGCAGTGGGTGGGAGTAAGAACACCTAGACCGTGTATTAAGGCTGCACAACTGGTGTTTCCAGAACATATTACTGGCATAAAGCAACTTCAAGTATTGGGGCAGCTTTGCGTGTCTTGGGAGCACGCTATTAAATTAACTGACATCTACATTTCATTTAAGCACTGTCTGTTCAAACTGTGACCATGACGTGAAGTGACCTCTACATATTTTATCTAAAGATCTATCCTCTACCCTACAATATACTTTTAGGTTTAGTAGATATATGTTTTATGAAGAACATTTTAATTTGGCTTTCAAAAATGTTATACTGCCCTGCCTTTCTATAGAAATACAACGGCGTCAGAGTAAATGTGTTGTAAGGAAATTATTTGAAGTAGCGAATTATAAACAGGAAAAGGATGGGACAATTGTAATCCCCATATGAAGCATTTGATCATATAATACTACATAATTCATCAAATTCAGCTCATACCATTAATTTAATATTGATATTTTGATATATTTGGGTATCATTTCACACTAGCAAACATTTGAACACAACCCCCGCCCCCCCATGACATCCACCATTTTGCAATCCCATGACTGTAACCTTGTATTTCATTTATAAACATCTGTCACCTCTCCAGTGAGTCCAAGTAGTTTGTACATTTCGTGTGTCAACAAACCAACATTATGAAGTAGCTGGAGGTTTTAGTTTTTTTTTGTAATTCCTAAAAAGCAGAGTTCCAGTAATGTGAACAGAACTGGCACACACACAGACAGCAGTCCATTTTGTTAGGCCTTGTGCTTTTGCCATTGGTTTTAGTCTGGCCTAAACACCAAGCAGCAGCTAAGGCAGCTGAGGTTCAAGTGAAAATTGGCTTCTGGGTTCTCACCTTGTTCAGAGACGTCTCAGCTTTAATGGAGCACGCAAAATGTTATTATTGTTTGTCAATTCTACCAGTTGACAATTTTTGGGATAAAACGGTGGGCCAAAATTATGGGTTTGCCAAATTCAAAAATATATTAAATAGCAAAGCTGTTGGTTTCTTTGGGTCACCATTTCCTTCTCACAACTCTTCTACCAAATGACTGAGGGATGTTGGTTTGAAATTATTTCCACGTTAGATCTCCAAAGTGGTGTACATGTGAGGGCCGTTCTTCTAAAACAGTCTTCTGCTTCTGGGTAAGGTCTGTTAGAACAGATTTGAAAGTAATAATTGTGACAATTGGGGAAGGAAGTGATAGAGGTTCATGGTAAAAGGACACCGGTACGGAAACCATCTGGTGTCCTGATTGAGAAAACAAAAAGCATCGATTAATGAAGGATTATATACATGGTCCATGATGTGGCCTTTGATCTAACATCACAATGAATTGAAGTCCTTGACTCTCCTATGCCGAAATCATTCCTCCTGTAGCCTCCAAACAAGGCATGAACAGGAATGGCGACAAGGAAATATCTGTAGTCCACACATGAGTTTAAAGGTAGAGTGGCCTGCCTTTCTCTTTTTGTGCTCTAGATAGATATGTTTTTAGCACACTGTTCCGTTTTCAGGGCGGGATTTGGGGCAGTTGGTCCTCAGGACAGGCTGTACTGAGGGCGCTAAGGTGCAGAAGAAACCCGAGATTAAAGTTAGGCCCAAGCCCCCCCAGGCACAGAACATGGACCATCCATAGCCATGGCTGATGTCATCAGGTAGACCGTACAGGAACCGAGGGTAGCGGGACAGCTCAAAGTTGATACCCGCTACGCAGGTGCACAGTGATATGATACAGAAGGTACCTGTGGGTGGAGAGAGCAAAATATTAGGACATTTTTTTTTAAACTCACACACTATAGGTCTGGACAAGACAAAAATAAAACACGGTTTTATATAGTAGTCGTTAAATGGTCATATTTCTCAAGAATTCCATTGGTAAGATCTAATTTCTTGAGTTCCCAACACCACCCATCTGTCACCGCCATTACAGGGGATGCAGCAATAAAGTGATGCTCCGGCTTCTACAGGTAGAGTAAGATTTACATTTTAGAGGTGAAATAAACAGGAAGTCGGGCTAAGTTGCCTCCAAGAGATATAAAAATTAGCTGAACATTTCAGCACATATACACTACAGCCAGTTGTACGTAGAAGCCAATCAACCTACCAGTAAGTTTTTGGAATGTTTGAGAAAACACATACAAACACAAGGAGAACATCCAAACTGAGTGCAGAGAATGTCCTTTGGCATTGGCCCTGTGCTCTGAACCAGTAAAGCTGGCCATACACTTTACAGTCTCTGCACAATCACCTTTACCTTTACCAAAATCTTAAAAATGGGCCTAGGCAATCCATTAAATTTATATCTGGTTAGCCATGCCCTCCAACAATATAGATGTTGATAGATCTAAAGGTCATTGTAAAATCAGATTTCAACATGCACGGCTGTATGAATTCCTGTTGCATGCTGACAACACTAAGCCACTACCACGCAATTAGAAGCAGTAATGTGAGCCTGCCATATGTGCTCCTTCTGTTGGCCATTGGGTTCACTACAGGAGGTAGTGCTATTACTGGCAGGATCACTTTGCAACAGATTCACAAAAAAGTATTTGTTGTATGTTAGTGGAGGGACAGCTCCTTCTTCAATGTGGGTCACATGTATGGCATTTTGTTTCCTGCTCGTGCGCAGCCCCTAGCGCCTGCACGAGCAGGACACTGTGAACATTTGTTACACTGTGGACATTTGTTACAGCCAGTGATGGCTGTTACACCCCCTCCTCCGCCGCCACTGCCAGCTGCCCTGGGCTTTGCTGTCCCCTGTGTGGGGCAGGGATCGGCATGGCAGATCTGTTCACTTCAATCAGAGGGTAATTAGCACACTTGCAGCGGATGATCTCCCCTCCAATTACTGAACCTGGAAGCTGCTGTAGCTGGAAAAGAAGCTGGCGAAGCAGAACTCTGCTTTATCAGCTTTTTTGGCGGTCCATAGGTGGCATTAGGGGTCTCATAGACCCCTGATGTCTCCATAAAAAGGACATGTCACTGTATCTGTGCTATGACATAGGGGACTTATTATCCCCTATGTGATAGCAATAAAGTTAAGTGTGAAAAAAAAAAGTTTTAAAAAAATTGTCACTGTCGCCTTGAAGAAGGGACCCTGCGTGGCTCCGAAACCTTGACTAATTGACTGCCTGTGACATGTTTCTTCAATAAATAAGCAAAATAACTGAATGCTTTTGACTGAGTGCTGGTGATCTCCGTCGTTATGATAGAAGACACATGAAAGACACATAAAAACAATTAATAAACATAAACATTTTTTTTAAAAGTCCCCTACCCCCACGTACACAGAAATGCAAACAAGTGTTGGGTGCGTCTACATGCGAAAGCGACCATTGCGCCACATATTACATATCACCACAAACATTGGAGTACAATAATTCTACGGTCATCAATCACTGTTAACAGTAAACTGATGAGCAGTAAAAGATTTTAAAGGCCAATTGTGGGTATTGTAGTTTTTTGCCGTTTCACAGACACACGCACTTTTAAGGCTTGACATGTTTGGTGTCTATTTATCTGACGTAACCCCGTCTTTTATATATTTTTTCTTTATTTGGTAAAAAATTAAAAACAAAGCTCTATCTGTACAAAAAAAAAATTATATAAAAAAATGTATTTTGGTAAAGTGTTGCATGACTGAATAAATGCCAGTCAAAGTATCACAGTGCTGAATACTAAAAAATGGCCTGGACAGGAAGGGGATGTAACACTCGGGTCTTCGAGTGGTTAAGAAAAATGTATATACAGTGAGACAAGCATACTGAAATACAGAATTTGGATTTACACTTTAATAGTTCTTTTACATTATACATACAGAGCAGCTCTCTCATTTGGACAAGAGCCATTGTGCCTTACCTCCCATGAGGAAGAGTAGACCAGCAACATACTGCATGAGCCCTCTGTCCCAGCAGCACCCCAGCACTCCAATGATCCATCCAAACAGAATGATGGCTACCGCCATGCCCATGAAGCCAGCTGTCATCCTGCGTAAATCTGTGAAAACAACAATAATGAGAAGAATTAAAGAGCGTTACTTTTTACACAGAAATTTGACTAAGAATCACAAATCGCACACAGATAAGTCACCAAAAACATATTTATTTAGCCTTTGTGGAGTGTTTTTGTGCTTCTTTAGTCAACCTGTAGCTGAACCGCAGTGGTAAAATGCAAACTGCATTAGGATCTGTTGGCTAACACAACTCCTGCAAACTAAAGCTAGCTATACACCTATAGATTATCTGCAGATTTTCTCTGGTCAGATGAGAAATGTGCAACAGATTCCTCCATCTACGCTAAACTGTGTGGCTGGAGGAATCTCCCACTGGGCCAAGCTTCAGTATCTTGCTAGTCGGCCCTGCTGGCTGCCAAAATACCTGAACAATCTGACTGGATGCAGGCATTGTTCAGGTATTTTGACAGCCAGTGGGGCTGTCACATGGGAAACACCTAACTCTGTCACATGGGAGAGGATAAGTGAGTCACATGCTTACATATACCCAAAAGTATACAGTACTATACTTCACTTCCAGCTGCCAAATGGTGTGGGAGCTGAGCGAGAAAAATATGAGTACTCAGAGATCAGTGAATCATTCTCTTTACCCATGAGGGTCACTTTATACCAGAAATCTCAGTCATTTGGTTGGTTTTGACTTTCCACGATTATCCCTTTTATATATATATCAAATAAATCATGTTTGATCAATACCTGCCACCTGCCACTCACTCATTACCCCGTACTGCAATAAAATCAATTAACATTTAGCTGCCTGTATCATTCCTCCCAATGACTGTAGAAAATAAAGCAGCAGAACAGATGTGCCCTGAGCATTGCAGGAAGTGGGGAGGGAAATTTGTGTTTATCAAACCTCAGCAGAATCTCTGGCAATTTTCCGAGCGTGCACCTGACCTGATAAACCACCTCTTCAAATTAAAAACAGCAGGGAGCTGACGTTTCGTGACACACATCTGCATATTTCAGATAGAAGAACCAGGGAGGGATCGAGGGTACGCTTACAGAGCATCACAACAAGGCAGATCAGGAGCTGGAAGGTGCCCTCCCTTGGTGCCATTCATGAAGGCCTGACAGCAAGTGGCCTATCCTCATCCCATAGTGAATCTACAATTTATAGGCTTATTGCATTAATCAGCACAAAGAGCCACCAGGATGTGCGACACAGCTCATAGCAGCCAATCAGAATTCGTTTTACTGGAGTTGCTTTATTTCAAGGGGAGCTATAGCTTTTTTTTAGTGCTATGTGATTTATATGTGTCCATTTATGCCAACAAAAACCCTCTCATACGAGTATATGTGCATTTATTATGTTTTATGCATGTTATTTACTTATCAGAGACTGCAGTTGGGTGCCACCATTTTGAATGTTATGTCAGCAGCCCCAGCAAACTCAGCTGTCACAAGTGACACGCTATTGTATTCCCCTCCACGCCTTCCCTGGCAGCAGTGGCGGAACTATCGCCATAGCAACCCAGGCGGCCACTATGGGGCCCTGGGCACAGGGCGGCTCGGCCAGGATGAGGAACAAAGGGGTCCCCCTAGTGCCGAGTGGGCTGGCTGGGTTGCTATAGCATTGCTGGCTGTCACTGGCAGCTGTAAGGAGGAACGCGCCGCTGTCAAGATCACTGACAACCTGTCAGTGATCTGGAGGAGGAGGCAGGGTCCCGCCGGCGACCGAGGAGGAGGTGGGGCCCGGTGGTGGAGAAGGCTGACATCGGATCGGGGCTGACAGGTGAGAGGTGTGCAGGGGTGTGACCAGTTACACAGTCACACCAGGGGTGTGATTTCTAGTTTCGCCCCTGCCTGGCAGTTACATAAAAAGTTATGTAGGGAGCTGAAGGAAGGGATGGAGGAGCTGGACCAGTACAGACATTGCCAAAGGAGAGTGCTACAATGTTCAAGGTGGGAGGGGGCTGTGCTAGGGAATTGACTCTCCTGGAGCAGTCAAATCGAGCAAGTTCAAAGGCACATTGCAAGTGATTAAAGGAGAACTATGGGGTCAGGGCTTTTCCCCATAGTTCTCCTACGGGTCACGGGAGAACAAAAACTAGCGTTCTCTCGTGACTCAAAGATCAGTATACCGTGAGATGCCGCAGCCGGGACGGATCCCGACAATATTGTCTGGATCCACCCAGCTGCGGGATTGACGGCTTGCTCTGCCTATCCAGAGGCAGAGCCAGCTGTGCCCGCCCCCTCCCCCGTTTCGGCAGTCAGCCCTGGAGGATCAGACAGGGGAGGGGGAATCCCAGCAGGGAGCCGTGAGTGACAGTCACTGCTCTCTGCGGCGATAGATCGAGAAGTGAGCGAGCGACGGTATGTGTTCGATCACGTCCCAATCTACTGAGCCGACCTGTGACAGTTTCATTGTCACAGGTCGGCTCAGTGAAAATCACTCGCCTCATAATTATCCTTTAAGTGCCTGTAAGTACGCCTTTAAAATACTTGTTTTTTGTTGTGGTTTTAGTTGCATTTTTTTAAGTTGGTAACATAGTTTCTTTAAAGCCCAATTCAACTTTCATTTTCATTCAGCTAAATATATTCCAGGTGCACCAAAACGAAAAGTCTCACAGTTCATTTTATTCAGAAAGCAGCCACATCCTGATCAGAAAAGCCTATCCCCTTGCCAGTATGCTGCAGAGAAGGACCCTTGATCCCTGTATGGAAGCAGTGGTCTCTCTGCAGTGCACCAACATGCCCCTGCTGAGTCAAAGTTTAAGATCTCCAATTAGCAACGAGCACAAGCTTTACTGGTTGCAGAGCTATAGGTTTGACTCAGCAGGGGGGGTTAAAAAGGTGATCACATGACACCCAGGATCTTCTTCACCTATTCTCTGGAGATGGGCAGCCCTAAATTATGTAGACAGTAGTACTGTAGACATGATGTCAGCCCAATTCTCTGGATCTTGTATGAGACTTCAGGCCCCCAGACATCTCAAAACTCTCCCGGATGTTCCGTCAGTCAGAAAAAAAAAATGGCATAGGAAATAATAGCTAGACTGCTATTGGCTATTTTAATTAGCAATAGCCAATAGCAGAATAGCTATTGCACCCACCCACTGTTGCTGTCAATCAGCAGAGGAGGACCTGAAGTTCTCCATCAGGTCCACCACTGCTGACTGACAGGAGCAGAGGGCGGGTGCAATAGCCATCTTGCTAATGGTTATTGCAAATTGAAATAGCCAATAGCAATCTAGCTATTAGTTCCTATGTTGTTGTTTTTTTTATTTCCCTGACGGCAGCAGCTGTCAGAACTCTAAAAAGAACAGCAGTTAGCAAAGGAAGCATTAGCTTCTTTGCTATCTGCCATCATTTCAGGGGGGTGCTCTCTTCTTTGTTGTTGCACCGCCCCCCCCCCCCCCCCCCCCCTCCCACAGAGAGGAAATAACTTATTTCAGGTTGGGATCCCTGGGCCCCTGTGGTAGTGCCCCTTCAGGGGCGGGTCATTGAAGCCCTGTACAAAGAGGATTTCCTAATTTTTCTGAGGTGAATAACATTGGGTGCCCAGAGTAAATCTAGGTGTGGAATGGAATTACTGTGGGTGTCAGTACCAGGGTAGGAGGTTAGTATTGCAGCTAGAATTCTTTTTTTGTTTTAGACACCTTCTGGAGCCCCATTTTTTTAACAGTTGGGCCTGTTATTGCTGTTTTCCTTCAGAAAATGCAGTTGCATTGACCCTCTTCAATACTTACTGAATCACTGAATTGGAACAAGCATGCAGATCATTATAGTCCAAAGTCCTAATCTGCCTACTTGTATTGCGTTTGTGTTCCAAAATAAGGACAACCTGACAGCAAGGCGGCTAGCATTTGCAGACAGAGAATACACCAGTGGCAACCTCCATATTTCTCTAATCCAAGGTTTTCTTTAAAATAGAGCTGGCAGTGAACCAGACTGAGGAAAAGAAAAATCCATCATACATTTTGTACTAATTAAACGAAGCAAACTGGTGTTCTCTAATTCTCTGTGTTATCACGTACTATGATGCCGTCCACACTTAGCTGCCAGGCCTTCAATAAATCAATGTTCATACGCATAATATCACAGAGATGAGCTGATGTTCCAGTGAGCTCCTGGCTGACTTTTGCTGTCTTTTCCTGTATGTGTGGAACTCCCTCTCGGGCTCAGTGTCGCAGCTAATTATGCTCCCTGCGCATCACTTGGCCACACAGGCCCTCCTGCTGCCTCTGTGCCTGGCACTGCTCGGCTTCTTGCAGGTGAAGAGCAGAAGACTGCAGACCCCCCACCGCAGACAGAAAGACGGGCAAGGTCATGACATGCTGCCAGGCTCTCGATGGACAGATGGATGTTTCCTGCTCAGTGCACAAGGAAGGCCAAAGTGAGACCGGAACGTGGGGTTACACATTGTAGTAGAAACTAATAAGCACATTTGGCATTTGATTTTCTGTTTGTCAACAAAAAAAGACAGCAAAAAATAAATAATAAGCAACCACAAAGATAAGACAGGTATGATTACAGGTACAAGGACACTAGTGTGCATGATATACATGAAAATATCCAAACTCTTCAGGTTTCATACATAGGGTGTTTAATCCAGCACCCCCATGCTGTGAGGTAGGATTTAAATTTACCACCTTTTAAGGCAAACATACATTTGGCATTTGATTTTGATGGCATACCTTCCAACTTTCTTAAATGGAAAGATGGACACCTTTTTATCACCAATTTTTTTTTTTTTTTAGACAAAGGACATCCCCTGCCGGTCAAATTTAATGTAGGAAAGAAACTCAAAGAGGAGAAGATTGAATCCATGCTTCACGTGTATACAGAGCATTTCAGACTATGGTCTAAGGACCTTCAGCAGGTCACAAGTGTCTACCAGCTGGTGAGGGAGGAAATACTTCATAGATGGTAGAGGGCAGTAGGAGTGGGAAAAGCAAGGACGGGTTAGGCCCCCCTCAGAAAGTCTTTGTTGCTGTATGTGTACCCATTGGGGAGATTCATCCCTCTGTTTGTCCTGGTG